TAGTGATAATGGGGCACCATCTAGTTCATCTGGTTTCAGGCTAGAAGAGGCTGCTGTTTTCATGGACCATTAGACATGTGGACTAATTTCTCCCTTAAGTCTTTGGTTTGCTTCACTCTCCTTGATCCAGATGAGGAGACCAACAATTGTATCTTAGATGGCAGCTCACACACTTTTAAGACACCAGGGGTGGTAGGATGTAGAACATTATCTCTATCATCTATATTATGTCCGGTTGTCCCAAGAAAGTATGGTTCTAATCTTTCAAACCCGCTAAACCAATCCTGTGTGGCATTAGGTTATGTCTTAGTAATATCTATAGCTGTGACTTTGAGATTTAACTTATAAAATATATATACATTTGCAGTGCACATAAACATGTATACACACATGCCTACAGATACACCTGCACATACAGACTCATATACTGAATGTCTTCTGTACACATAGATGCATACATGTCTACCTATGTAACCACACACACAGTTAATTGGTTAATACTGTTGTTGCAAAATTGCATTTTCAAGGGTAAGTTATTAACATTCCCATTTTGTAATTGATAAAACTGAGGTTCAGAAAGGGTTTAAAGTCTCTTGCCCCAAATAATGGTAATGAGAATCAAACTCACATCTCTCTGACTTCACAGGCCACCTTGTGCCTTAAATCATTTAAGAATGGCCCAGAGCCCTTGACCTCAAGCCTGACATGTGGCAGGTGCTCAGTCAGTATTTGTGGAGGGGGAGGGGAAAGGCGATATTTTCATCTTGCACCCAGTATGTGCCAAGGGGCCCAGGTCAGCGAGGAGCTCTGTGAATGAGTCCCACAGGCAGGGACAGGATCCCACCAAGCCCCTATTCTCAACCCGTATCTCTGAGAGTGGGGTATTTGCGCCCTGCCTCTGACCTGGGAAGGCGGGCTGCCCCAATCCCCTGGCCCTTGCTATTGTTTATCTTCTTTGTACAAGAAGCGTTTCTTCTTCCCTGAGAGTCCCCTGGGGGCAGAGGCTGAGCAGGATACATCTGGGCCAGACACCCAGCCTAGGTCTGGGCCACAGCAGGCATCGTTCAGCACTCCTTGAATTGAAGCATTGATGTCTGCTGGGCGGGGGAGGGCCCTTTGGTGAGTGTTACAATGAGGCGTCTGTAAGTCAGCCTCTGCCAGATGTCCAACTGCTTTCTCTCCTCTGAGGGGGTCTGCTCCTCTAAGAATCGACACAGTCGCTAAAAATGGATGAAATGACAACATGCTGAATAGGGGAAACCACCCAATGCTCCTTTGCTCAAATGCCACCACCTCCAAGAAGTCCTCCCTGCAGTCTTTGGTTGTTAGTGACTCTCCTCCCAGCCCCCCATTTGAAGTGTCCACTGATCCCACATTCACTCTCCCGTTCCATCCTATCTGTGGTCTTTGTGTGACCTGGCAGGTCACTGACCAGGCTGCAGGCTCTTGGGAGGACAGAAGCCTGCTCTGATCTGCTTAGTTCATTAGCATGAACTCATCCCTCTTGTGCTGACATTGAATTTGAGACCTCCTCACCCCACCGCACCATGCACTGTTGAGTCCCTCTCCTGCTTCTGGCAGGCACAAACCAGGAGCGTTGCTTCTTTTTTAAATATCAAGTTAGACAAAACAATTAAAAAGGCTAACATATTGTGTAGGGAATTGTGTTATACACCCAAACCCTAACGTAGTTTGCAGGGAGATACTTATTTTAAACTATAAATACTCTCATGTACTTTGGACACGTTATCAAGGGACACCAGTCCCTGGAGATGGACATCAGGCTTGGTAAAGTAGAGGGGCAGTGACAAAGAGAAAGACCCTCAACAGGAAGGATTGTTACAGCAGGTGCAATGATGGGAGCAAACATAACCATAATTGTGAGGTTGGCGCAAGACCATAGCACACAGCAAAACAGAGTCCACTGGAAGGCACCTGTCAACAACAGCATAAATAATTGGAAGCTGGTAGCACTTTACTCCGGTTTGTGACCGATGCAGGATTTCCTGGCCTCAGAAAACTAGCGAGCATTAAAATGATGAAATGCTCTTAGAAACATCCCTAACAAAACATCCCTTCAATTCTGACAGAGTCGGGTTGGATGAGCCAGGCAAGATCAGATCACTCGCTCACCCCTTCCAATGGCCCTGTCCTTCTCCATTTGTTTCCGATGAAACAGGCTGTGGGAAAAGCAACGACCCTACGTCACATGGTGAGTTGCTGGCCAGCTTAGGGTTGGGATCCAGGTCCGCAGACTCCCAGTCAGTCCCTGCCGCTCTTGTGCCTGGTTCTAATTAAGCATTTGCTATGCAATGGACCCTGCGCTAAGCTCTTGCTATATAAGATCTCATGTGATTCCCCCAATAATCAGGTCTGTGATTTATACCCATTTTACAGATAAGGTGACTGCGGTTTCTGGAGTGCACAGAGCGTGGGAAGCAGCAGAACCCAAGTGACTTTTTCTACAGGCTTGACGCAGAACAGAATATTTTCCTAGAGCTGACAGACATTGGAGGTGCCCTGGTGACATACTGATTCCCAGTGGGGCTGCTAAGTCAACCGTGTGAAACCACCAGCCGCTCCATGGGAGAAAGCTGAGACGGCCCACTCCGGCACATGGTTACAGTCTCGGATAACCACAGCGGCAGTTCTACTCCGCCCTACAGTGATAGGAGTCTGAATGGGCTCAGGGCGCTGAGTTTGGCTTTTCCGGTTTTAAAAGCACTGGAGGCAGGGTGGTGCTGGTGCTGGTGCTGGTGCTGGTGCGGTAAAGAGCCCTGGCGTTCAGAGTCCCAGTCTTGCACTCACCCCGAGCAGGTCGCTAGTGTCTTCAGTATAAATTTCAAAATCCTCTTGAAGGGAGAAGGCATCTTCTTCCTCCCCCCACTCCTCCCCACCCCCCACCAACTATGTGAAGAGTGCACCCAAGCTGGGGTAAAATTGGGAAAATTTGGTCATTCTGCTTGGGCAGCAGATTCCTGGCTGAGAAGAAGGGTGGGGTGGGGTGGGGTGGGAGTGATGCGGTGGCCACACATCTGAGTTTCCTGAGCTCTACTGGGATAGCGCCTCGCCGCGGCATCACCCATCGCCCAGCACTGCAATAGCAAAGCCGGCCCCCAACTAACAAGCCGCCCTCCGCGGGAACTCCCCGACCCCCGACGCAGCCCGCGCCCGAACCGAGCCCGCGCGCGCCGGCCCCCTAGGCCCCAAGGCGGGGAACGGCACGCGCCCCCCGCGCGCTGACACCTGCGGGCCGCCGCGCACACCCGGCTCCCCCGAGGTCGCGAACCCCTGCCCCACGAGCACGTCGCTGGGCGCTGCCCACCTCGCTGGCCCCGACCGGCCCTTACCTCCGCTCGCCCTCGCCGCTCACGTCGATGGGTCCGTCCGACTCGCTGTCGGAGCCGCTCTGCTCCCGGGGCCGCTTCATGGC